CTTTTTCTCAGGGTATTTGCATAACCAAACACACCTTACACTCTCCTAGTACATAACCCAATACTTTGTTCTTTTCCCTGCAACCCCTGCACGAAGCCTGCTCAGACCACTGTTGCTGTAACATTTCTCATATTCCGAAGTCCTTCAGCCCTTGATTGCTATTGATTTTTATCTCAGGATTCTATTGGGAATCATATGGAAATGTTTATTGAATGAATGAAGAAACAGGGATAGAGATTGACCAGAAAAAAGTTTATTCATCAAGTCTTTAGAGATAAAAAACCAAACCAAAACAAAAAACAACACTTGTCTTCTGTGGAGTCCTGAGAACAGAAACTCCAGTAAAGCACTTTTCATTCATGTGGTCTTCAAGCATTTCCTTGATCTGATAGTGGAAAGAAAAAGAAAATTAAGACGAGCTTCAGTTTCCATGAGCAGAGAGTATTCTTTCCCTTAGATCTGGGTAGCATAGTGCCTAAGGAAACCCAACTGGTACAGTGGAAAATGAAATCTATTACAGATAATTGCCCGGGATGCAATCCTATGAGCTGCCTGAGGTTTGATAGAGTCAGTGGCCCTTTCCAATAAACGTGTTTCTCTATAATAATATGCAGTGTGAGCAATATGATCTCTATGAAAAATATTTAGCCACAATTTTATGAAGGAGATTTGAGGGACAAGCCAAAGGAATTCTGACTGTCTTTTGAAGGAGTGTGAATTGCTTACCTTTGCTGCAAGGAGCATTGTACTCAGCAATTGCAAACTCATCTGAAAAACAAACAAAAACCATTACGTGAAGTGAGAGGGAAAACAAACGTCTGTTGGATACAGGTCAATGAAGGGATCTTTACTATAGGAAGAACCGTATTGTGTCAGAAATGTCAGCACCATTCATCTGTTGCATTGCTTGCTGCCTTATATTATCCTTTCAAATATAGTATGTTTTCTTTTACCCCAAACTCCTGAAGGACACTTCAGATAGTCTACTTAATTAAATCTTCTATTGTTCTATAGTTGCTTTATCTGATGAACAGAGCACTAAATATCCTACAGTTATTTTATATTAGTAGTTGATACATTTATAATGTGGAAAGTTTCTAAAATGTATACATAGAAGACAAAAACAGGAGAGTCTGACTTGATGGAGACAAAATGAAGTGATAAGGACACTTAATGTAATAAATTGCCCCAACACATGTCTCAGACCTAATTTTCTGTGATTAGGGATTTAATTTCTATGTGAAAATCACTCACACTCACCTGTCTCATAGTAATCATAGACTTTCACTATGGCTGGTTTCAGATCTCGTACTGGAATATCTTGCAGAACCGTGAAGGAAAAGCTCAGTGTCTGATTTGACACCTAGAAAGAAAAGGGAATTAAATGTCCTTCTGGGGAGCTTTATTTTCTCTTTCAATAAGTTTAACTATTCATCTACGTTTGGGGAAAAGTCT